TTGGTTTTCTTTTATTTATACATACTAATAAAAAAAATGTTATTCCTACTCTCATATGTTTGCCTGAGAACCCTTTAATTTCAAAATTATAATAATTCAGAATGAGGGGGTTCACATTTTCCATTTCAAAAGAGACTCCTGCCTTCCTTAGCAGACACCTGTCTTTTCAAACCGAGACAGCTTTTTTCTTAAGTGTTCAGTAACGAGCAACATGCAACTGAAGTAATGGCATTGGGTACAGAAGGACAAGGTGCCTTTACCTCATACAGACTGCGCTTTTCTGCTATCTGTGTCACAAAATTCAGAACAGTAGATGGAAACAAGAGAAGGACAATCAAAGTAATAGGAAACCTCCTATCTAGGGGACATTAAGCAGGATTTTGGGGAAAAAAAAAACCTAAATCTAAAATATATATTAAAAATATAAATAAATGTCAATTACATAATTAGTAATTTAAAACCAGTTTTACACAACTTCCATTTAAACAACCTTGTAATCCATATACTGGCTTAAAGAAAAGTATACCAGGATGGAAGATCATACATATGCATCTACTCTGTTTCTAATTCTCTCTCCTCGAGCATCAGCAGCTGACCACATAGTAATTCAGAAGGAAGATCCATGTTACTTCACATGTAGCAAGGCTTTTTTAGTATTACATTGAGTTACTATGCACAGCTAATGCAAGAACCATCAGCTTAAGTGATTTTCACCCTCTTTCAGAATGGGCATTCTGGACCTGGTATACCAGGAATCATTTCAATCCCTTTTCAAACTTGCTGTACAGCTTCCACCAACTGAAACCTCATTTCCTTGACTGCAAGACAGGAAAAACACATACTCATTTTTGTAAATACTAAGAACTGTTGTACTTTTTTATCTATAGAAGTTCACGGCATCATGAATTTAGTTAAGTGCTATAAAATTGTCTATAAATAAAGTATTTGTGGGCTGCTGATGCTTGTGTTGTCCCTGTTCTTTGAATAGCAGGCGGTTTCTAGTCTTTACAATCTACCATTTGCATTAACTTCATTTGCATTAAATGCATATGCATTAACTGCATTTTGAGAAACAAAAAGCTGAAATGAACTGTTATATTTCCAAACCTACTCACAGTCTAGAAAAGGATTTCTTTTAAAAGCCATATTAAAATATAAGTAGAAAGACACATGACACCCTTTTCTGAAGAGAAAGGAAACCTAGAAATGTATTAACAGCATGCTCCTGAATATCTCCATATTTACCAATCTTCACTATGTTAATAAGTAGCCTCCTTTCTGCTCATATAAGCACCAGCTAACATACAGCAGGATTACAGCCAGCCACGTTAGAATGCAAAGTCAATGTTACTATTTGTGTGCAATTAATCTATTAATTAAGATAATGAGACAAGCACTGAGGTGTTCAAAACTATACCGAGACTAAATAATGGCCACTGGGAATGAGAACCGTACTGTGCCAGTCACATTCCCAGTTCCTTTCCGATTCAGCCTCTGCTCACATATGATCAAGTATAGACAAGTGAACTGTATTTTTCATTGAGAATTCTACCTGGGTGGACAAAAGAAACAGTGTATGAACAGTAAAACATATTCTTCAATTGAGATTAATCTCTCTCACATTTCAAGTTTAAAACCCAAAAATCTAGGTCTACAAAGACAGAAACAAATGACAAAGAAACCCACATATACATTTTTGGCTAGCATACAAAGCTCTTCACTTATTATCTTGGGGATCTTTACACTCAATCCTTAAGTACCAAGAGGAAATAAAAAAATAAGTCTTGGTTTCAGCAAGGTTGTCATCCAGAAGCTTGAGAAAATAAGTAGTCAACAAATATACTGCAAATATACTGAAAATTACGAGCCTTACAACTGCACAGGAATTAAAATTATGGCCAAGTGAGACTCTTTTTAATACTATAGCAATATACTATAAAGACAGAACACATCACAATGAAGTACATCTATTTATACCACTATAAACATCTACACTGATACATTTTCCACTTCATTCTACAAGCTACCCTAGTAGCTAAGATCCTTTCTAGTAGCTCCATCCAAACTCAGTTATTCTTATCGGAATTTACCAAAATACTTTTACAGGTAATTTACAAGTTTAATGATCTTAATTTATGGCAATAGCATGAATCGCTCTGCACAGCAGATAAATGAGAACTCACTGAACTGCATACAATAAATAGTCCAACCCACCTACCCCAAGAGTCGTTTCAGAGCAGGGGAAACAGTAAAGCTGCTGAGTATTTTTGTTCTCAAAATCATCAAGACATGTTTAGAGGCTGAAATACATAACTTTTCAGTCAATCATTTTATATTCAAACTACTATGAATATTTTAAAGGAAATTTCAGGAAATTCATGTAGACAGTGGATTTCCAAATCAAACAAAAGTACTAACTCTAAGTTTCTGGATGACTGTGCACAAGTGAATAATGATTTAATTGTCCCTTTTCAAGTTGCTGTGCCTTGCTGGTGGGCAAAACAGAGAGAAATGCAAAATTAAATAAATCAACAGAATAATTAGTAAAAAATGGTATAGTTCGTTGTATAATTATAAAAAGGAACCACACAACAGAACAGCTGGCAGCCTTTGATTAAGCCTAAGGTCTCCTGACAATAAACCGGGCTACTGACACTTAACTGACATGCCAGCATCGACAGTTTGAGAGAAGAGACCTTTGGGAATTACAGAGGATTCTAAAAACGACAGAAGAGAAGCTCAAAAACTCACAGTAAGACCAGAAAATAAGACAGATGTACATCTCATAACCAAAAAAGAAAACAGACGAGTATTTAAGACTGCAGCAAGCAAATATTTATTTACTCTAAATAAAACTGACTTCCTTAAAAGCTTTGTCTCTTATCTTGCAAATACCAGGGCAGTAGTTCCACAATGATTTTCCCTCAAAACTACCTGTCATGTTAAAATTACAATGCAGAAAAACTTAAAACACATTTTAGAAGTAACTACAAGTAAGTGTGAAAAATACTATGTCTTTTAGTAATATTTACCTCATGTTCTTGGTTATCTTGTCCATCTTTGCCACTTTTTCCACTCTTGACTGATTTTGCAGGTTCCTTAAAAAAAAGTTTGCAGTTTCAGGGTTTTTTTTTAAAAAAAGGAGATCTAGATAGATTTGCAAGTCAAGGAATCAGGCTTTTTTAGACACTCGCTGAAAGCAATAAAATTAGCAGAATAAAAATTATACTCTTTAAGTGGAAGATGATAATATTGAACTATAAGTCTCTACAAAGGCACTTTAAATATTTGGTATCTGAAGAAAGACTCTGTAATTTTATTTATGCCTCAAAATTCACCTATAAAGATATGCTTTCACACAGGTAAACAGGCAGGGATAAAAAATGCAAGTGATTCGAACCTAAGTGATTCTAAGAAATTACTTAGTTCTACTACCTTGCTGTGTTTGATTTTTTGGTTCAGAAACATTTATATTTCCTTTAGCTTTGAAACCAGCATCAGTATAGTACACCTTTTATACTTTATTATTTTGTCTGTTCTAAGGGCTAGAAAGTCTAGTGTTAGAAGTGGGCCCACAACTCAATTTTCTGCCTCACAGCATTGTACTTACCTTGAATCCTTTACCCCTTTTTGAGATTTGGTACTCTGAGAAAAGTGAAAAGCTTCAATGTTTTCAACATGGAAAGTGCCAAGGATATTGGGAAAATGTTAAAGCAAACAACCCCCACAAACCACAACACTCAACCTCCCTACATCTAATTTTAAAATGACGTTGACAAACTAAAAGCCAAACAAAAGTGGTCGAGAGGGGCAGCAGCTGCCTGAGGCAGACAGCACACTTCACTGTTTCTGACTTCCACTCATGGCTAATTGCCTATCACACAAAATAAAGCGCAATCCAGCTAACTTCCTGCCGGATTTACAAGTTTTCTGCGATCGTAACTTGTGCAAGCCCCTTTCGTAGCCGCCAGACAAATCACTCCCTGGAGCCTGAGGCAAAGCGGGGCCAAAGCCAGGTTCATTCTACTGTCAGGGGAAGGAGCTGAAAGACTCCGAGGGGCGATTAGTGCTCCTTGAATACTTATGGAGATCCCCCAAGCGCAACTCCCACTACAGCCAGAGCTACGCAGCAGCGAAACTTTCCAGGACGGGGCCCGGGCAAGCAGCCGTGGGGACAGACCCCTCATCTTGCCGTGGAAATAATCCCTCCCCCCTCCCCAACGCCCCCGGGCCAGCCCCGAACGAGACACCCTCCGCTCCCCGCTCCGCCTCAGCCAGCCCCGGCTGAGGACACGTTTCTCATCCCCTCCCTGCAGCACTCCCCCGCACGCCAAACCCACGGCCGCCCTCCATCGACTCCCTCCCTCCGCCGGCGAGACGGTACCAGGACCCCGCCTCGGCACCCCCAGACTAGGCCCCGCCGGGAGCTGCCCCCTCCCCTGCACCCGGGGGGAGGCGGAGGCCGGCACACAGCAGCGGAAGAGGGAGCTACCCCTCACCCGGGGCTGCCCCTCGCGCGGCTCTCTCAGCATTGGGGAACGGGCGCCGCTCGCCGCTGCCGCCCCCCACCCCAGGCCCCTCCTCCCCGCGGGGCCTGCACCCCATAGCCTCTCCGCGCAGCTCGGCCTCTCCCGATCCCCACAACTCACTTTCTCCTTCTTGTTTTTATTCGGCATGGCCGCGGAGGCGCAGCCCCCGCCGGCCCCGCTTAGCTCCGCGCCGCGCCCGCCCCGCGCTGCCGCTCCCCCGCTCCGCGGCGGCCTCGGCGTCCCCCTTCCTCCCCCGCCCGCGGGGAGCAGACCCTGCCCGCCCATTGGCTGCGCGCGTCACGTGGGCCGCAGCTCGCGGCGCGTCACCAGGGGGCGGGGCTGGCGGCGACCCCGCCCCCCGGCGGCTCCTGCGCTCTCCTGAAGGGTCCGGGGCTCCCAAGACGGCTCCTGCGCTCCGCCTGGGCTCCGGCCACGCCTCGGGGTGTTCCCGCAGGCTGAGCGGGGCAGCGAGACGCGCTGAGGTGTCCTCAGGGCCCTAAGCCTCCGGCAGGCTCTTTCTCAGGCGGTGGCAGCCCGTGGGAAGCGAGGGGTCCCTGCAGCCGCTCCCTCAGCCGCTCTTGGGCGAGGGGCACGGGCTCCGCCGTGGGCGTCCGGGCGCTCGTCACCGGGGAGCGGAAACGTTAAGGGGAAAAAAAAAAAAGATAATATAGGGCATACCTGAAGTTCGCTGGCCCTCTTGTACAAATCCAGTGTGTCCATCGTCATTTTGAGGACTTCAATGTGCGCTTGCAGTATGTGGATGAGGAAGGTGAGCGTTGCGAAGTTGCAGCCTGGTTTTGAAACGATATCTTGATTGCTTTTAAAAGCCTGAAGTTCAGTTGTGCAAGTGTTCATGATGCCCACCTGTACCAGAGGTAATTTTTTAGCAAACAAATCACTTTTTAATCTTCCAAAACCGGAATACAAAATTTAGGACAATCTTAGACAAAAGAAGAAATGTGCAAGTACTCAGTCTGGAAAATTTGCAAACTGCATTTCTCCCATGGTCAGATTAAGCCACAAATTACTGTTAACTGAGGAGAAAAGTGCAGAGGTCATGAGCACTCATAATAGCATCAAGACGTAAAATCTTTTACGTTTAGATTGGACATACTTGTTAAGTTCTAACTGTGTTGTACTGCTAAAGGATGGGAAAATTGCAACTTAATTAATTACTACTTACAGTGTAAAAGTGAAATTGGTCTCATTCCTTACCCAACCTGTGAGTATCAAATCCAGCATGAGCAAGCACATATGCTGTCATTTTTGGGATATGGAATTCTAGTAAACAGTTGTGTCTGATGGTATAGTATCTAATGTTAGATACTTGTATCAGCTTGTATTCATTATATTCGAACACTGCTTTTGCTCTGGAGAAAAAGACAAAGAAACTATCCCTTCTCCAGGCACTGCAAAGAAATTTACTGACTGTGGAGAGCTGCTTCCTCTTACTTCAGTCCTCGTTCCTGTTTCCTAAGTGCTAGGAAACATATTATCCTGCCTCTTATCCTCTCTCTCATCCTCTCTGGTTTGGGAGTTAAGAAATGAGGTGCAGTTATCACCGTTGTGCCTCTGCTAAGAGTGAGTCATGAATGAGTTGCTACTGGTAAATGACATTTCTGACCAACAGAATAATATGGATTTTTGAAGTACTAAGAGACAGCAAAGGAAAAAAATCTACCTCCGTTTGTAGTCTGGAGTTTGATCAGTGTGTGAAAGGGTTTGTATAGCTAAGGATAAACGCAAGAGCTTCCATTTCTTAGTTAGGTTACAATTTTGTAGAAGCTTAAACTACTCTTAATTCCCAGCTGCTCTCTCCCTCCCCTGCACTGATGCTGGTACTGTGAAGCTTAAACCTCTTTGTAGGATTGATCAGGTTGAAAACTGTCCTCACAAAATTATGTGTTGGTGTGTTGGTTTAGTTTTGGCTTGGAGTTTGTTGTTTGGTTTTGTTTTTTTTTTGCCTTGAACTGGCACACTACCACCTGCTTCTGTAAACACCAGCATTGGCTGAAGGAAGGGGGTGGAAATATGTGGTGGGGGCGGGATGTGACCTCAACAGCCTAGATTTAGATCAGTTTAAGCAGCTTAATGAGTTTCTCATTGGCTCTTGGCCTCTTTTGTGCTGCTAGTGCTCATAGTTTTTCTAAATAATGGAAAAACTCTGTCAGTATCGTTCTTACCCAAGTACTTCTGAATAGGAGTAGCAAAAATTGTCTGTCCTTATTTTGCAGTTAGTTGGGAAACCTTGAATCAATACATTGAACTGAATGCAGGTTCAAAAGTTGGTACTGACTCAGTTAACATTTATGAGGTTTTCTTTGTGACCACAGATGTAGAAACTCTTGTGAAACCTTGACTCCCCCTCACCTCACTTTGCTGCAGAGTCTAATTCACCAGTATCAGAAAGCAATTGTGTTTTTCAAGGCCTGCTCTATTATATGAAATAATCAGTGGGTGGAGAAGGTTTACGAGAAAAATAGTTCCATCTGTATGCTCTAGTGTCTTCATAAAACATGAGACTAAGATAAGTGACTTAAGTGATGAAATCTTACTTTTACTACAACAGTATGGCTCTGTGGGCCTAATTATTCTGCTATGAAATAGGAATAACTATGTAAATAAGGTGATGTAATTTGTGTGTGAATATGACTATATTAATATTTGCATTAACTTCTGAACATTTTATGCAAACTAGGTGTTTTCAAAAACCAGAACATAGTCACACTGATTAGGTTATCACTAATTAAAACATCAAAACCTAGTGCATGTAGCATAGTTTCTAATATGCATTTTTTACAGTACTGATCAAATTCTCTAAATTTGCAAAAGTTAAGTCACCAAACAATGTCAAGTATTGTGTAAAACACCTGGATAATATTTAATAGCTTGAAACTGGGCCAAGTGTCCTGTGTGCCAATGAAAGGGGAATATTTACACAGTTAGTCCTTTCCAGCTGTATTGAATATTCTCGTCTGGTTGATTGCTTTTCATGTTTTTGTTGCTTGTTTTTTAATCCCTTTACAGTGGTTGAGCAGTCATGCTCTGGCCTGAGTTTACTGAATGGATCACTGTCACTGTGATAGGGATAATATCTTCCATCCCCACTTGTATGACTTTATTGCTTCCCATGCACTGTCTCTGGTTTAATTGGGTGGTGTGCCAGTTCAGCTTGTTAAAATGGCAGAAAACTGAGCACTGGCGACAGGAGACAATGAGACCTTTTGCTAGGAAGCTGTTAATTTGGTTCAGCTGAAACTATGCAATAGCACTTGTGGACAAGGTTTTAGCAGCCAGTGAACTGCCATCATTATACATAATTGTCAAACATTGTCAGGCTGTTTCTCAAAACATCTCTTCATTGACAGACTTTTGTTGTCTGGCACACTGTGTCAGATACAGAGAACTGAAACCTGAAGGACCAATTGCTGTAAAGAGGCTGGAATAGATGGGTTGAAATAGAAACAGATTTTTTTCTTGTGCTTTCATGAGCCAAAATACTACTTAAGGTAACTTTCCTGGCAAGAATAGTGGAACTGGCAGATTATGTCTCAAGGAACTAACTGAGGGAGCAAACTACTTAATCAGCACCTGCAATAGATTCTGCTTCTATGCAATCTAACGTCAAAAGCTGCAAAACCAGTATACTCAACTTCACAAAAAAGCTTAGAAATCTTTCAGGGACTTTCTTTACAAGCATGGATTCATTCTGCTTATGCTGAATCACATTAAATAATTCTTATGCTGTTCTCAATATAAATTGTAAGGCTTTAATTCTCCTCAATTATTTTAAAATCCGTTAGTGTCGGATGGCCTGCTGTCATAATCTGCAGTATTGTAAAGGCTACAAAACAATTTATTCACAGCCATGTATAAAAGTCAGACTTTTGAGGTAATTAGTAACAGGTCAAATTTGGAACTTCATGAAAGTAAACGACATGATATTTTAGCCCTACATGTGACCACATAATTACAAATGGCAATTATTGGCATCACTTAACACAGAACCAGAGATGTGTGTTCAGAGCCATAGTTAAACATATATATGTGTAGTAGTATCATATTGGATGCCTTCTAGCTGTAATAATACTCTGTATTTTTGTAAAGTTTGGACTAGTAAAAAATGAAAAAAAATGTTCATGTATGATTAATTATGCTATCTGAATCTTAGCTTTAAGAATTTTCACTCACTGTGGAACTATTACATTGAAATACAGATTTCTCTAAGTTTTGTCTGTTCTAGATCCTTTTTACTCTCTTCCTTGCCTCTAAGTTTAAAAAAAAATAAATAGGGCTTCATTTGAATGTAATGAATATTATTAGTTATTCAGGCAATTATAACATTATAGAAAACGTTTGCTAGGAGATTTTTCCCTTTTAAAAAAAAATCAGAGCTCTCTTTCCTTCAGATAAGTTGTGAAACTCATGTTAACATTCTTTTCAGTAAGCTCCCAGAGGCCTATTGGCAAAATCAGTAGTCAGCTTGCTTGTCTTGTATTGGGGAGCAGCAGAAGATGCTCCATGAGAAAGAGCTGGGAGCAAAGCATGGCTAAAGCAAAGGCATTGACCAGGGCATTGACCCAGTGGGGTCAGGATGGTGACAGTATCAGTCTGAGACAAGGCAAGGCAAGAATTCGGGCATCCACCCTAAAAATCCACTCAAAAGTGACAGGAGAAAGAGCCAAAGGCCAGAATGAAGACAAGACTTCCTGTGGAAGAGATTGGAGATCTAGATTGGAGGCAAGGCTGGACAGAAGATTGTTTATAGGGCTCATCCAGGAGACCAGGGCCAGCAAAAATGGTGCACCTGCAATGTAAGCCTGAGGTCCACCTTGGAAGTTCAATTAATAAATCATGTGGGAAGGAGACATGGCTGGAAGCAAATACAGCTCTGACAAAGTGGGCCAGGTTTGGGTGCCCAGGCCAAAATTTTAATAGAGCTTCTGGACCACTTGGAAATATCACATATGGCTGGAAACAGGCCTGGTATTAGATCTTGTCAGTAGCCATTGTCCATATTAATTAACACATGGAGGATTCTGGATTTCTGTTTGGGCCAACTTAATTTTAAAATGAGCTTGAAAAACATAAATAATGAGAATGGACAACTCATGCAGAAGGTTACTAAGGCGTTGTACTGCTTTTAACTGGGATAGAGCTACATTTCTTCTTAGTAGATTCTGTGGGGCTAGATGTGCTTTGGATTTGTGATGAAAACAGTACTAAGAACATAAGGATGTTTTTGTTATTGCTGAGCAGTGATTATACAACCTCAAGACCTTTTCTCCTTCTCACCCTGCCCCACCAATGAGGAGACTGGGAGTACACCGGAGGCTGGGGGGGACATAACGATGACAGTGACCCCAACTGACACAAGGGATATTCCATACTGTGTGATATCTTGCTCAGCAGTAAAACTGGACGGGGGTGTGTGGAGGTTGCCTGGGGCTGGCACTACCTGGGGACTAGCTGAGCATCTGTTGGCTGCTGGTGAGCAATTTTTTTTGTTTTGTTTTTTTTTTCATATTTTCTTCTTTGTGTATTTTCTTTTCATTATTATTAAATTGTCTTTTTCTCAACCTATGAAGTTTCCTATTTTTCCCCTTTTCATTCTCACCTATATTCCATTGGGGGTAAGTGGGCAAGCAGCTGTGTGATACTGAGCTGCCTACTGGGGTTAAACCATGACAGGCATCTATACAGAGATTCAGAAATATTCTGGACAAATATATCACAAAAATATCTAATGATAGTTAAAAAAAATGTTATCTGCTTGTGTGTACCACAGTGGTTATTAAGTATTAAGATGACCTACATGGGGGAATTCGGATGATGATCAAAGTAAAACACAGGCTATTAAGCCGGATGAACCATTTGTCTTATCCAGAATACTAATTCCTATGAGAAGTGCCTGAATTTGTGTGCCGATACCCAAATTCCAGAGAGATGAGAATTACAGAAATAGTAACATTAAAACACTTTGTACAAATTGCTTGATGTTCTGCCTCAGTGAAGCAAATAAAAAGATGTTAAAAGGAAGACTTTGCTGTATGTCATGGAGTTGAATCTTTTCAGGAAAAAAACCTCAAAGAGATGCAACTCTGTGACATTTATAAATTAGGATGTCTGCTTTCACATTTCCACTATTTCTGTGAGTTTGTTTTTTGTCTTTATAATGAGTTAAGAGTTACTTGAAAATATAATATAATAATCTGTTTAAAATTTATTGTTTGTGCCTAGCATTTAGGAGGTAGAAGAGACATATTTATTTTTGATAGTTCATCTCTTTTTCATGTCCAGATTGTATTTTTATGTTGTGTTTTGGTGCAATTTTTAGCAGTCTTTGTTCATTCCAGGTTTTTTGCTGCATTAAGTACAATGTTCCCATACATGTACTAGCATTCCTTCTTCCTACACTATATCAAAGGAAAGATTAATTTTGTATCAGATGAGTGAGACTAGTAACATAAAGGTGACTGCAGCTAAAACTCCTACATTTTCATTTTTATCATATTTAAGTTGGTATTTATAGAATGAACGAAGAGAACCAATTAATTGTACCTCCTGTTGATGTCATACAAGATTTTCTCCTTCAACACTTCATACCTTTTTTTCTGCTGTTTTTAGGGTTTGTCATAGCTAATATAGCTGTATATTTTTATCTCAGTGTGGGAAGAGTTGAAAGACACACGGAAAAGGCATTCTCAGGACTTAACCCTGCAAGTACCATGAATTTGTGGACTCATGAGGGTCTCTGTCTGCATATGCTCAGAAGTGTTCATCTGAGATGATGCGTATGCTGGATTTTTGATTTTTGGGAGCAATCCGTACTTCCTTGTCTGATTGTGGGGAGTAGCTTCCACCAGCAGAGCTTTTGTCTTGCTCCTCCTAGGGCAGGCTGCCTGCTGCTTCACCGAGCAGGCTCTGCAGGATCTTACAGAGCTCTGCAGGCCTTCCAGAGCCTCTCTGCATGCATTGCACAGGCATCACTCCTCTGCTGTGCTCACATACTGGGATCAGGCCAGTTCTTACTGTGTACTCTAAGAAGGATGAAATTTGGGTTTAAGTATCATTGCCTGGATCTACACTGAAACTCCTTGGCATGAAGCAGCCTCAACCAGGTCTGGTTTGGTAGTCAGGGTAAATCCTGCAGGGTTCCCTGTCTTCAAAAACTGTGATAGTCTAGAAGCCTCTGCCAGACCGAGTCCCTCGATGCACTTTGAAGTCTACCTTTGCATATGAGACATCTGAACAATTTTGAAAGGTTCTTTAATAGCAAGACTTTTTTTGTTTGCCCAAGATAAAAGGAGAAATGCTTGCAGCACACCACTTATCTCCTCCTATGCCATGTTGTCAGAGAGACATGTTACAGGGTCATGCCAGGCAAAGGCTTGCAAGGATGATGTTGGAGGATTGGACCAAGAATAGAGATATTTTTTTCTCAAACCATTTCCTAGAGCTATCTCGTCACTGTATGGCTTATAGAATTTTTCTAAGAGCAAGCCTTGTTATTTTGATTCAGAGAGTATTCCAGGAATAATCAAACGTGCACATTTAGAGTGAATGCTAATGAAGAGGACCTTGGAACAAAACAGACAGTAATTCAAACTGATAGCGCAGGTGCATTCATAATCTCCTTCTGTGTTGTGATGGAAGCCTTGGCTTCTGATTCAGCTGTAGATTCTACTGGCTGGTAAAAGTCCTGAATCTCAGAATGAGACTCATTCTCATAGAATGAGTTGGGTTGTAAGGGATCACAGCAGTTCATCTTGTCCAACCTCCCTGCTCAAGCAGGGTTGTCATGGAGCACATTGCACAGAGCTGCATCCAGATTGTTTTTGAGAGAGAGAAACTACACAGCTTCTCTGGACAATCTGTTCCAATGCATGGTCAGTGCACAGTAAAGAATTTCTTCCTCATGTTCAGGTGGAACTTGCTGGTCATCAGTTTCTGCTTGTTGCTTCTTGTCCTGTTGCTCGGCACCACCAAGAAGAGCCTGGATCCATTCTCTTGCTACCCTCCCTTCAGATACTTGTAGGCATTTATGGGGTCCCCTCTCAGTTGGCTTTTCCTGAGGTTGAACAGGCCCAGCTACCTCAGCCCTTTCCTCATAAGAGAGACACTCCAGTCCCTTACTCACCTTTGTAGCCCTCCAGCTAGATCAGTCCAGGAGCTCTAGTCCAGTCTGTTTGTACTGAGGAATTCATAATTCTAAATTCAGTTTTTCAATATAAGAGTTATTAAGAATTAATCAGCTTCATCAAACCAGGATGTTTTTGCTTAGTCACATTTTTACTGAAGGTTTAAGCAAATCAGATACTCTGAAAGAATTTAGACAAAGCAATTAAACATTGGCAAAGCTTATAAGCATTTCAAACCAGAAACTTACAATAGGAAATGTTAGACCAACTTAAGTGCAGATTTCTCTTCCATCTGTATTTATATCATGCTGTGTACTGACTATCTGGTATTCCTGTACAGGCTTTGCCCCAACATTAAATTTGTTTGCATCTTATGTTCAGTATTTATTTCAGAAATTTTGCATAGATATGAGTTGTATTTACATTTTATCACCAGTTCTTAGCTATGTTAGAACTTCTTTTGAACATCAGGAAGTTGATTAGAAGTATTGGGTAGACAATTACTAAGAAGTCATAAAACAAGGCCTTTGACACAGATTTATTGTCTGCATGCATTCCACAGAACCATGACACGTAATCTTTATATTTTATGCATTACCTTCACAGAGGTTCATGGTTTTTTTAACTTAATGCTCCTTTTTTTTCTGTCCACAGTTTATTGCTGCGAAAATGGCATGTATTGATGTCAGCACAGCTGATCACAACTCTTCTCTGAGAGTTTAATTTCCCAGACCAGCTCCCATCTCCAGCATGCTGTATGTTCTCTGCTTTTGCTTTTATTGCTATTCTCACATATTTATTTTCGACTTTATCTGAAGACTCTTGGTTCATACATTTCTTGGCTGTTCAGAGAAGTATTCCATAATCATGTAACAAGATGATTAAAGAACCAATTGTGAAAGCTGTTCTTCTCTTCCTTTCCCTGGGGCTACCAAGGTAGTTTTATGGACAGCCCTTTGCCTGTCTTGTGTTATCTAATTTATAGGCTGAATGCCCAGATTTCTTTATGTACTCCATTTTTATTTTTTTTCAAAGAAAGAATTAGCAGGCATTTGAATTAAAGTTATCTGCTTTTTAATATAAATCGAAATTAAAAATCCCTGTTGTTAGCAGAGAAAAGAAGAAGATTGGTAAGTGCGTGTTCATAATTCCCAGGGCACTTTACATTTAAAACTTCTTTCATATATGTAAAGAGGATAATGGTAATAAGGTAAATAAATTGTGTACAGAAACAAGATAAGGTATGTAAGATACATAAATAAAGGTTTCTTTACATACATTTATATAAAAATCCTACTCATCATGCCAAGTTAATTAGATGTTTTTCTGACTGCACCAACTTGGATTTGAATTTTATTTCTGCTAAATATGTCAAGGCACTTTAATATTTATCTAGAGTGTCAGAAACTAGATGAACTAATGTCTAATCTTTAAAGATTTTTTTTAAAATTTACTTGTGTTATGGAACCAACCAGGGATTTAAATTCAAGGCTGAAGCATTATAGCACTGTAATTGAAATGTAAGGGAAATGTCCTTTTCACAGAAAAATCTGGTTTTGCTATATACTTCCCAAGCAGTATGCATCATATATAGTATTATTCAATTAAATGCTAAATTAGCTATATGCATAAGTTGTGGCCTGGAAACCAGAATGAGGGGAAAGTGATCATAAGCTGAGCAACTAAATAGTATAATTTATTAAGTAGACATATGTTAAGGGGTGCAAAGACTCACTAGTCACTGCCATGAGTGTTCAAGCTCTGATGTTACTTTTCCAGGCTTCTCAGCTGTGTCTAGGTCAGCATTGCTTGGCCTTAAGGATAAAGTTCATCACCTGATGCTGCTCCTTGCGTTCCTCTGCATGCTGTTGGCTGCAGGTGATGGTAAGACATCAGCTGGCCTGAGAGGCTCGTGTAGGCTTGAGTGAACTTTGAATACATTTGGTGCAACATGAACATTCAGGAGCCTCCTAGTCAATTGTTTGATTATTTTGTAAATATTACAGAGGAAGTGGAATTTTGATAGATGGTAAATTCAGATGCTTTGTTTAAAAGGTCTTTTTGTGGTCTAAGATTAATTAGTGCCAGTAAACACTGATGGCTAATAAAAATGTCTTGGAAAAAGCCTGAGGGAATACTCTGTGAGCTCAGCAACAGACTGGGGTTTTAATGATCTGGATTCTATTCTTAATTTGACCATTAATTTGCAGTGCGATTTTGGCAAGTTAACCTCAGTGTTTCTTTTTCTTTCTCATATCTCTCTTGTCTATCTTTATGGCAATTTGTCTCTACAGTGCCTAGAATAAGGAAGGAGACAATCTGGACTGTGATTCTAATAACAGTGATAACAAGTAACTTTAAATACAAACTGAATTTCAATTGTTTTATTGAGATATGACTATAATAGGTTTTTATAGGTATACAGAGATACAGATTTAAATTGTATGTTCAGCCACCTTTAACGTAAGGGATTTAATCCTGTTGGAGAGCACACTTTAGCATCTGTCTTCATATTCTGTACTGATATTGAAGAAGATAAACCATGAAGATAATGTCCATGGATGTCAAGGAGGTAACAAAGTTGTATTTTTTAGAATTCTGACTCAACAACTCTATCACCTATTGCTAGATGTCTGCAGCACTTTTACATGTAAAATTCTCTTTCATTCCTGATACGTTTCCAGAAATATTCTCAAAAAAACCTATCATATGGTACTGACCTTGTGTTTGAGATTGGCTGATTAATTATGTTTGAGACGTCTATTGCTAGGCTTACTCCAAATATACCCTGATGGTAATTTACTTATCACAAAAAGGAGGTTTCTGCATTATGACTATTTTTTGTATCAGATTTGAGGTGGTAAAGGTAGCCTTTGAGTCTGTATTGAAGTCCCCTGAATTTCAATTGCATTCCCTGCAAATGTAAGTGTGGTTCTGTTCAGTAAACATATAAAACCTCTAATATTCAAAGCTCATGGAGACCACTGAACATGGTAAGTTTTGTTGAGAACAGCAGATGCTGGGCTTCCTGCAGAAGGGAGTTACAATCACAATTACAATTGATTTTATCAATTTATTAATTCTTTTTTTGACAGTACAGATGTTTTATATTCATACTGTATGTTTGTATCCATACAAAAAAATTTTGTGCCTTGAGTGTGCAGAAGAAGAACACATCACGTCCTTCATGCAAACTTTTGTGAAAGCAATAGTCTATCTCATTACACTATTTTTTCCCCAATCATTTAAGTTTTTTTTTCTTGTTGTCTTTTTTTTGTTTGTGTGTTTAAAAGCTAATCTAGTAATTGAAAAAAGCACCTGGTGGACACTAATGGAAACTGACCACTGTGTCCATTGTCCCACTTGCACCTGGGTTTCAAAATTGTTTTCATGGGCTGACCCTTTTAACCTAAAAGGATAATCAAGTCTCCTGGCCTACTCAACCCTGAGTTTGAAAATAACATGGCAGCTTTGTTAACCAGATTGCACAGGAAAAGCACAGTCTCTAGACTGAGACTGGCTGTTACATTTTTGCTATTGAATGCCTGTCAAATAATACCTTTCAGTTACAACCCACTTGAGACAGACCTGATGCAGATACTTGGAGATGAAAAGCTGTGTATCCTATTACCAGTCACTTGAGCTGTTCAGTGGCCATCTGCTGATTGGAGAAGAAAACATCATTAATAATGTATTTGTGGATTGTGCTCTAGCTTTGATGTTGCTATTAATTCTTCCAGCATGAGCTATATAATCATTATTTAGGTTCTGAGTTCCAGCATCTTCTTAGTAGCCCTGGCAAGTTATTTTGTATTTTCTGTTTTAGGGGATAAAAGGAATTAAAGCATAAGAATGAAATTAGAATTGATCTATGAGTTTGCTTACTGTTTGCATAAGAATCTCTACTACATTAATAAGTTTTATCGCTGTTTCAAAATAGTTTTCCAAAAGAGGGAGTGTGAACAAAGAAGAGTAACTTGTATAACAGTTTGTTATAACTAAAACAACTGGTACGTAATAATATAAATCACTTAATGCTATGAAACAAGTAATGCAATGCTTTGGACTTAAGTTGAGTGCTGACATGGATTGGTGCAGCTCTCTTAAAGTCAGTGCTAGAAAAATAACCAGAAATATCTAGAGAATTTTGTTTGTTTTGATCAGTGTTTTAACATTTTAAATTAACAGTTTCACCAGGCAATGCAATAATTGCATTAGAACTTAAGCCATTCAAACCCATAATTTACAGTTTTATCATTTGGAGGAGTTTAATTTTTAAAATGCTGAACAATATGATCTGAACTTCTGTCAGATGAAAAGCCTGCAGCCAAAAGAAGATTGTACTAGCTGTTAAGTTTTTATGTCTCTGGAAGTGTTGTTTTTTTCTAAGTATTGATCTTTTTTTTCCTTACAAAGAGTGGTTTGTACAGACTTGGAAAATAATTATGTGTCTGGGAGAAAACGGCATGCAGGTTTCATCCTTGATCCAAGACATCTACAAGATAATTAGCCTATTGTTTTTTTAAAATTAATTTTAATATCAGGTATTATGAGTGGCCAAAACCACCAAAGGCTTGGCTGTTTACCTCTGCTACAGATCTCTGTAGGTTTTATGCCTTTGTGGCTTCAAGATTGTATTACTGCAGTACACTGTACACAGTATACAGAGGAGATATAGCTATGACAACCAGTGCCTGGTAGGTAACTGACAGCATGAATTACAGCATCTCTAAGGATTTGCTGCAGACTGGTCTCCTTGCTGGTCTGATGGCTCATTTTGGTTTTGACCTTCAGGAAAAGGACCAGCATGAAGGCATTTTTTGTTCCTGGTATTCATCCTCCTGTAAGAAAGTATAAGAGGTTATGTAGATAAATAGGTACAGAGGGGCCTTAAACTGGTTTAGATGGGGATTTTTTTTGTAGTCATATTTATTGTTATTGTTCAAGTGGGACAAATGTTGTTTCATTTTTGCTGGTATTGCAACATCTGCTGCACAACTTTGACCACTATAAGTAGCTCATTCAGCAGGGTATGGTTCACGGCCTTGTTTGACTCAGTGGTATGAGTAAGTTCCTGAAGTCAAACTCAGCTTCAGATATAGCTCTTACATTAAAGATGAGATGGGTATTAAGGTGGGATATGAAACATTCTTGTTTTTATTATTTAGATTATGCAAAAAGTGTCTGAATTGTGTAAATTACAAAAGCCAGCTGCAACTCTGACATTAAAAACCCAGGTCCTCCAGAGTCACTGGCAATTGGAAAATGTTTCATAGCCATATCCCAAAAGCCAAGAGACTGAAAGGGGAAATATGAGAGAAAATAATTTCTTAATATCTCTGTGACTTGCTGATTAAATTTCAAGAATAATTATACTGATGTCCCTGGGTAATGTGTGAATGGTCACGGTCCAGAACCTGAAATTCAGTTTCAGGTCTCCTTGCCCAAAAAACTGACTTAATGCTGATTAAAATGCTTCGTACATCAGAGTTTAGTATCTCTGTTGACAATGTATTTGGATGTCTTTTTTATGAAAGCTCTTGGCCATTTTGGTAAAGATCATTTGCCAGCAGTTATCTACTCACAGTTGCTTAATCATGTACGTTTAAAAGCAAAGCTGAATGAGCCCAAACACTTATACCTACAGCCAAATACCCTGTTAATGCAGATATAATAGCATTATGTAATAATAATAATGATTTAATTGAGCAACACAGGACCCATGTTCTGACATTGTATGAAATTAAATAGCTGTTGCAAATGTTTCAAGGAAAATGAAATTAATTGTTAAGAAAATCAGAACTGCAACTTAAAACCAGTTTCAGCAGTCATAGCCAAAAAACCCAAACTCTAATCTGAATAAAGCAGTTCACAGTATAGAAGATCTGATAGATTTAGTGGGTTTCTTTAGAATGCAGAGATCACACACAGAATTTTATTTATCTCAAACAGTAAAGTGTAAAGCTTGATTGTGATGTTAATACAAAAGTTTGCTAAAATGGGAGTAAAATAAGTTTATGAAAACAATCATAGTTAGGTTCTTCTATCTGTAGAAATATAATGCATAATGAAGCAGTTCACAGGAAAAATCCCAGTTAAATGTTTTTGGAGTTTGCTGGGTTCAAAATTACTCAAATTTCCTTCATTTAAAATTAAGACTACCTAATAAAATTATATTCCTAACTGAATTTAAATAACTCTATTTGAAAGAAGAATGCTTCAGTTGTGGCATGACAAAGCTGAAGCATTTGGGTTCTTTTGTTTTTAGTAACTACTATTTTCTTTTTCTATTCACTGGTTTCAGTACTGTGAAAAAACTTTTAGAAATTGTTAGTAGAGTCTCCAAGATTGGATATTGCTCAATATTGTTGATGAACTGATAGCTAAAAAAAGAGGAATTATTTACATCGCCGTTTTTGTACAAGGGCATAGAAAAAAGTGTGCTAAGAATGTGTTTACAACTGAAAGAATCCCATCAAGAATGGGGTTGGATTTTTCTTAATTTTAATAGCTTTTGTATATACCTTGTTCAGATCCCTTTTCCTAAAAATATCATATTACTATTGCTAATAACATGAGTTGACCTGTCAGACGCAATACCATTTTCCCAGTTTGTATTGATTTTGCTAAGGTTGCAAGTGACTAGAGATTTTTGTCTCACAGCAGCTTAGGATCATACAAGAATTGCAAATATGTAGGAAAGGTGGAATATTCCTGAAGAGATAATCCATGATAACCTATTACTCTTGTCAGCTTTTTTCTCCTGAATAATATATGACAACACTCTCACATTTACTGAAAACATTTGGTAAAGAAGATTTTACAGCCTTCTTAGTGAGTCTACTGCTTGGCAGAATTATCACTATATATATTTAAATTGTTTTCAATGTAGTATTCAGTTAATATTTTATCTTCTTCTTCCAGTCCTCCTTTTAGTGAATGCATTGAGCAATAAATGATCATCTTTTTATAACTACCTTTTTAATGTATAAGGAGAATTAAAGTTCTGTGCTCTCAAATTCTTCATCTCTCCCATAGGTTGTGTTTTCTAAGCCACATGTACTGTTGTTTTTCTTCTCTAAATATTACCAATTGCTAAAAATGAAAGCAATACAAAATAACTCATTAAATAGACACCTTACCTTGGGTATTGTCATGTTAGTAATGTAAATTGTGAACATTTAATAAACATTAAGAAAAAATGCTCTCTGGTTCTGAAGAGTGTGGTGCTCAGTGTGGGAAATAACATCATAAGGTCACCATAAATGAGTTCATTGTGTTCCACTGTAGATTCCCACTGCTGAAACATGTATGTAAAATGTATCCTGGCCCTCTTCATGGAAGAATACTCTCCATATCATCACCGGATTGAAGTTAGATTTTGATTTTTTTTTTCAGAGAAATTAGAATTCTTACCTTGAACATGGAGAAATTCGTAGATGTAGTGTGTCAGGTAGAACTGTGGGGGATGACTGAGACAGTATCATTTCCTTTCCTTTCTTATTCCTGATTGCAGCAATTCATTATGGCTTTTTATTTAATACAGCATATTCCTGAGACTTGCACAGGTTTTTCTCCTAAGTGTGATCTGCACATTTTGATGGAAATCTGCAGCTGATTTATCTCCGCTTTGCTGAAGTGAAGGTGTAAGTAATGTATTAGAGGAGTGAGTTTCTGATTCCCTACTACTAGCATAAGTGAGTATTCCCAAGCTTGGCCTGATCTGGCTCCTAGTCCTCAGAACAGTCCTCAGTCAGTTTTCCAGTCTGATACCTCTAGCTCTCACAAGTACCACTACAAAAAAATTCAGTTACCTGCTTTATGTCAGACCCCTGCATCAGGGCTGTGTCCTTCCAAGAGATTCCCAGGTAGCACACTCAGCCTGAGGTGCATTATTCTCATTTATTAAAACATATAACATGTTAAAGATTACTAACATTACATATTAAGTCCACTAAAAATAAGCTAATAAAAAATTATGCAACATGATTTTGTTCTTTCTTATTTTTATTAAAAAAGAGACTTCAGGAATGTCAGGGAAAAAAAAAAACATTTATTGAAACATATTTTTTTTCCCTAGCTTTACAAAACAAACAACTTGAACTTTTCAGTAATTTTATGTACTCATTGTACTTAAGGCGTGTGCAGTCATATGGCAACACTATCCTCTAGTGGCAGAATGTGTTAACACAAGGCTCCAGCTACAGGAGTGGGGGGCTGGTTTATGTGTGTTGAAGAGATGGGGTGTGGTTGTTATTATACATAAATTCAGAGCTTTGATTTACATAACACAACAAGGAGCAAATAACTGAATGCTGCATACAATGGGATGACAACATGTGCTCCAGCCACCAGCATCACTACATATATTTTGTCACTATCAGAAAAAAAAAGATTAATATATATATATTGATTTCTTGTGACTTTCTAGACTATTGAACTTCTGTATTCTGCTATTGTCACTTTTTTATAGGTGTGGTGTTTAACATGGTTGACCACCAGCTACTTTTTAGTCTCCTCTTCAACACTGCTATTAAAATTTAACTCTCATGGTAAGAGTGTCTCTAGATATTGTTATGCACAAGCACATAAAATATTCTTAATTTCTTTTTTTTTGGTTTGAAATTTCAAAAATTCAGCATATGACTTAAGGAAAAATAAGGAAAAGAAAAATTTGGTGTAAGAGAACAAACTCTGCAATTTCAATGCATCATTTTTTAAAACCTACTAAAATGGCTGAAGTCTAGACTGAAAGTGTATTTGTTTACTGTGAGTATCTATAGTACAAAAAATGGAATTATTTCTCACTCATCCTCTAAAAATGTTCCTGCTCTGGAAGTTTAGAAATTTATCTATGTTAAAAATCCTATGTCATATTTTTTGTGGGTTTTTGGTTGGTGTGGGTTTTTTTTTCTTTGTGTGTTTGTGTTGTTAGGGTTTGTGGGTTTGTGTGACACATTTTGCAGAAATCTTATCTAAATGTTTCATCGTGTATTTTGGGAATAAGGAGGTTTTGATGCTTCCCATTCATGCATGCACCACATAGATCCAATGCTAAGTGAAAGTAGGAAACAGAGAAAACCCAGTTAAAGACACAACTTTAGCTTTTGGTATGGAGCAATTACTACAAGTGGGAAGCAGAGTGGATGGGAATGAACATGTTGATGTTCCCACTGTTCTGATTTTACTTTTGAAGACCCTTTGACACATAGCCAGCTCACTTGTGTATCAGGTCCAGTTAGAGGACCACGTACCTGGCTTAACATTGCTTCCATTTTTCTTCTCCATAGCCAGACTTAGACATGTTGTAGGAGGTGGCATTATACCTTTTAAATGTTACCATTTAATGCTCCATAAAATATAAACATTGGCTACTAAAGGACTTCTGCTGGTATTGATATGATATCATTCATATAACTTACTTGTTTTTTATAAATTAATTTTTTAATTCAAAAGTGTATTTGTTCCTACTGCGCCAAGTTGCTTTTCTGTACAAAGAATTCAAGGTAAATGATTTCTTAATTTCCATGTGAATTGTCCTTAAAAAACAAAAGCAAAAATAAGAACATAAAAATAAGTATTCTTTTCTCCAGCCTTCAATTTATATTACAAAAGTTTTGCAGTGCCTTTTTTTTTTCCCTCTGAGGTCTGTACTTGGACCAAAGGAAATACTTGATTTGGACAACTCATGTGCACAGAGAGAAGTCATTGTCTTGTTGCCTTTGTTCCACAATGCTCTTGAGCAGTGTTTGCTATAATCATATAAACAGCAGTGGTAAACTGCAATATGAAAACTTCAAATTTGTTACAACATAATTCTAGAACCATAGAACAATAACTAGTCAAGAAACAATTCTCTTGAATGAGGCGACAACTATTTTTAACGTGTCAAGAAGAACTATTAGTACTCTAAGTAGTGCACCACTGAGGGTCAGATGTAACTATGCAATGAATGCTGTTATTATAAAACACCATGCAAAGAATTCAGATGTTACAATGCTTGAAAGGTCTTACATTGACTTATATATCCTCTTGCTTCTGACTTAATTCCAGTTCACAATGCTAGTGACAAAATATTGTATGTCACAGCATAACACTATGTTTCATGAATTAACTGGATGCGTCCAGTCCCAAAATATTCAGTTAAAGGTTTATATTGCAGACTGGCCAATGACAGAAAGCACCAACCTGTGATTTTGTTGGCAGTGTTTGAATTGCCAATGAAGATTGACTTGTTGTTTTCCTCTAGTTCTTCTCTGAAAGTTGAGCATTGTCCATGTAAAATAAAGAGAAGTCACAGAATTTCTGCCTCTGCTATGTGTATTCTGCAGATAAATAAAGAGATGAAAAGTTATGTCAGGAAGAAATAATACCCAGATATCCTGGGGGAAATGCTTTAGAGTATCTGTAAAAGAGAACTGTGTGTTTGTGACAGGCTGTGATCTGTTTATATGAAGACAGGTCCTACATCATAGGTGACCAAAATAATGCTCTTTATCTCTTGAGCTGTGTAAAAATAAACCTGTAATGCTGAGGGAATAAAGAAAAATTACTTAAGTTCCACATTCTCTTCAATAGGTCAGTACCACGAGGTGAATCTGTCTCCTGTACCTGTTTCTGCTTTCCTCTCTTGAAGTCTGTATTTCTTGATTCTATGTATCCAGAACTAATAATTTAAGGACATAAGAAAATGGAGTTTTAGTATTATATTGGTTATTATGTGTTTTAGTGTTCCCATTGGCTACAACCAAATTAATTTGATATTATGTTACTGAAAATTCTATACACTTGATGTGCTTTTTGAAATGTTATTTTCTTCTATGTGTTTTTTCCCTTTTAAAGTTTTTCTTCTGGAAAAAGTACTGTTTATGTAATAAGAAGTACGATAAAACCAAATATTAATTATAATTTGCAGTGTTATATATTCATAATTGTAAGAATGTCACCTTAAATACAAATGTAGGAGTTTAAGGATTATTCTGAAACATTTGGAAACATATGTTTGGCTATGGAGTCCCATGGTTTATTGTTTTCGATTCCAGTGCAGAGCTTTCTCAGTGTTTCATTGAAGTATAGAATGAACAGTTGAAGAGCTCTGTGATAAACACAGACTTTCTTATCCAATATCCTGTTTTCAAATGGGGCTTGACTGCTAGCTCTGCAGAAATGAATTAGCAGGGCAGACAACACAGGAAGAATAGTGAAATCTCCTTGGATGTATCCTTCTCTGTTGACCTATAACATGGTTCATTTTATCTGCTTCTTCAAAATTTGTGCTGCTTGCTGATTTGCACAAAAAGTCCAATAATGGCAGAGTGTTCACTTCTGTTAGAAACCTGTGAAGAAATACAGGAAATAAAATCATCAGATGTATTTCTCACAGGTCAATGAAGAGCTACAATGTCGTGTGCAGGTAATATTTGCACAGGAATGACCTGGAGAATGTGAACTAGCAGTCTGGCACAGTTATACTCTGTTTCCACTAATAACCATGGGAAGCAGCCCCTGTCATGGTGTAATGATGTACTGCATGCAGTGCTTAGAATATTAGATCTTTAATATGGCGAATGTGTCACTTTACAGATGGCTTCACTGAATTCAATTCAGGTGTTCTTCAGTGAATAAGGTTTTTTTTCATCTTGCCCTGAATAGTGCAGCACAGAGTCTTATGTCTAAGAAATTGTGCAGGCAAGATGTCTCTGTTTTTCTGGAGTTTGACTAAAAATATAAGAAATAATAATTTAGCATGTAACAGAGGAGGGGATAAATAAATACACTGAAGGGGTTGACTTCAATTTGCAGAGTGTATTTTTCATTTCAATTTCAATTACACCAGTGTTGAAGTATACCTTCTCTTTCTCTCCACTGATACTATCCCATACATCTGGAAGCAATCAGTCTTAAAGGGCCCTGAGATATCAAGTTAGAGAAAGCAGACCAACTGCATGTGGCAGAGCTATGACAGCAAATCTGAAAATCTGTCTTCATTGATTTCAGTTGCTGTAATTTAGATTTGATGCAAAGAAACTTATTAAGTATCAGCTCACTCCAATGTGTATTGCTGCCCAAGCAAAATATCTGGAAAATATTAAGAATTACTTTTTAATATAAATTGAATACACAGAACATATAAGCATGTGCTGAGAATTTATTTGATTTGAATAGGCTGTATAAGAACCTAAAGTACAATGAAGGGTAGATGTAAAGTACTTTTTATACTATAGAACTACAGAGAGTAGAATCTTTTTTCCAGTCAGGTTCCACACCAACTGCTTAATCTTTCTAGAATAAAAGAGCTTTGTGATTTTCCATAATGTGAAGCCAAAAAAAAATGTGTTTACTAAAAAAAGCTATTTTAGTACTAAGTACTTTACATGATGGTAAAATTTTTGTATCAATTTATGAGCTATAGTTTTTGAAAATTAAATTGTTTTCAATGTACAGCTTTGTGGGATTTGTGAGGAAAAAATACTGCATTATTTTTTACTTTGCAGACTTTCAAACAACTGTCTCTAGGTATGGTATAAATCAGAATCTGGCTTGTGAAAGGCGTAGCTCCTCCTGGGATTCAGTGGAGACCTAGGCTACAGGCAGGTTCATACTGATAGGAATCTTAAATCTTACATGAGGAAAAGAGAAGTTGACTGGGTATGTTGAAAAATAAGCTATGTCCTTCTCATTTTTTAATAATATTACATACTCTCAGTAGTGTGAAACAACAAAACTACTCATTTGTTACCAAGTAGAACAGAAGGCCAGAATATGGCCTCTTAAAAAATTAGTTGTCCTATTTGTTGAGCTGGGACCATAAGAGAATAAGTACTCACCACTGTGAAAATCATTCATTATCTGGTTCTGGGAGCCATTTGCTATTAAATTTAATGCCTTATGTTTTAAACTGAGAACCTTTTAATGTAAGAGGGGAGTTGTTTCTTCAGCTTGAAAATGGCACCATTTCTAGGTGCATACTTTTTACTGCCTTTCTCTGAAGAAGTTGCTGAGTGCAAGAGTGAATGAAGAATATGGTACTAAAGTCATCAACATATTGGTTTGTGATGGGAGATCATATTTCTATATTTGAATAAGTTAACAAATGAAACTGATATGAGATAAAAACAAATTTCTAAATTAAGCAAGAGTTCTAAATGTTTTGGTCAACATATTGTGTAACAAAAATGCTACCAGACAGAGGAGTCACACAGCTTTTCCAGGGAGTGCCTATTTCTGTATTTCGACAGGTCTCTCCTGGGAAACAGTGCTACAAAAATTGCTGGTAATGGAGTCTGAGAGAGGACTAAGTGCTTTAAGAATAAGAAACATTTTGCCTAAACCAAACAGTGCTGTAATATAGTTGGTATAATAATCTAAATTAACATTAATTCTTAATTTTTTCTGAATAATTATGTTACTTTCTGTTTTCTTCAGGACAGGATACCCAGTTTTCATTGATATTATCTTTAAAAAACAATCATTAAATTCCATGTTCTCCTTTGTTTGAGAACACAAACTTATGAATAGAGGAATTAGCAATGTAAGTCAAATTGTACTTCTAAAGATATTTAACTAAATAC